AGACTTATCTCATTACTTATATGCCATATCCAATGTTATCATTTTGTGTCCACATACGGAAACACATTTGGATATCTCTATAATTTAGTAAGATGCGGGTTGAATTGGGATATAATTAAATATCCTCAATTGCTAACTCAGTATCTAAGGAAGAATGATAGTGGCAAAATAGGCCAAACAATCATTGCATCGCATCAGCGATGGCCAAAATATTTCCTCTTCTTGTCAGAACATTTTTCTTCCCTAGTTATAGAGTTTGTGGTACAAATGCCCACTAGGCACATATCATTCCACATTGGAATGATTCCTGTTCAATCTATATATGATAAGAGTTTAATAAGATTCTCGTCTAATATATAGAAATTCATAAATATTGCCGAGTATCAAATACATCGATATGATACCCACAATAGTTGTGCGTTGACAACACAAATATTACAACATCTTCGATGGACATTATCACATATTATCAACGGACGATGAGATTATCCCAAATCTCAAAACAAATCATTCGAAGCATATTCGATGATCAAGTTGTCCATCTATGTGATGTTCTCTTTACAAGAAAAGGAGAAGTGTTGTTATGGGATCACATAAGGTCCAGCATAAACAACCAACCTCCTATGTGTTTTTAGATTTTAAGATTGAAGCACCCTTCATATCTTATTTTTTGTAGTTCCTGTTTCATCCCTTATAGAATGTTGATATAGATCAACTACAGATTTAAGAGTATGACATTGTTTAGCGCTATGCTAAACACAACCACATATATGACATTACTCTTTGTCATTTTTGGGTTCACATTGCCATTACTCATATTGCACATTAGGCTTTTTGTTTTTACTAGTGGAAGCAAATTGTATGAACAATATGATCATAGTCTTCAATAGTTTGAAAAACTAGAGACATGATCCACTCATGATTAGCCTCATTAGCAAAATGGTTTGGCTGCCATTTTGCTTTTTTAGACTAGGCTCATATGAGCCTAAATTCAGCCATCCTTAATTAACTATCAATTAATTAAGGGGCTATGATTTTGTTGTAATTAAAATTAATTGGCAAACAACAAAACCAACAAACTATGTATGTTTAAACATGAACAATTTTCTGGTCTAAAAAAACAATGTATGGGAGCAAAAACTCTACCATACTAATATTGTTAGTGTCCATGACTAAAATAGAAAATCATAGACACAAAAAAATATCTAAACATGACAATAGTAAATTTATCTGCAATTATATATTATGATGTAATTTCTGAGGATCGATATGTCTCAAAAAAATCATCTATTTACGCAAGGCAAATATTGTGCATCATAATTTATTTAGACGTAAAGTCTAAAACAAGCATTTATCAATATATTGCACAATGTATCCGAGGGCTACAACATAGATCTAATATACATTGATAATCTTTCAAAACTATCATGTAATTCATAGAAAGGAAAAGGGTTTATGTGCAAATCTGCACAACCTTATCCTTTCCCCATCCCAATCTCACGGACGTACAGTTCCCTTCAGGAAACGTCGCTTGGCCTCGGGCCTCCTCGACCGTGAGGGCGCCGCTGCTGTCGTTCAAGCCATGGAGCAGCCGGTTGTCGCCACCAGTCACAGGCACTAGGGCACGCGGGGTTACCGTGGGAGCAGCCGGCCGCCACATGCACAGGGCCACGAGTCGTCGGGCGTAGGGGCCACAGGCCGCCGGTTGCCGGCCCAGAGGCTGCACGGGTTTGGTGACCGCGGTGCAGAGCCACGCGAGGGAGGCCGAGCACCGGGCCATGTCTGTCTAGCCGTGGGGGCCGCTGCTGCGAGCGCGTGCCCGGGGCGCCGGGCGCTGGAGCCGCAGACGCCTCCGACCACAGGGAATCGGCCATGGGGCGTGGAGGCTGCCGGCCACGGGCAGAAGGCCGCGCGAGGCCAAGGCGTGTAGGCCGCCTGCCACAGGACCACGCGTGCGCGCGTGCCCTTCCGCTAGGGCCCGCTAGGCGCAGTGGGCTGCGGTCACCGTCGGCCGTCAGTCCGGTCGCAAGGCTGCAGAAAAAACAACTGCAAGGACAGGCGTCGAGAGGAAGGTAAACAACGACAAATTCATTCTCGATGGTTGTTACCGTGATTCATGAGTTCTTCTTTATCGGTGTGAAGAACACCATCGCATGTTCTTGTTCTGTCTGGACTTGTAGTAGAAGCAGCGACACCGCGAACTCGTCTCAGCGGAGAAGGAGTGTGCCTCGTAGGAGAGACAGCGATGCCGGCGATCTTCTCCGGCCTTGCTCGTTGGTGGAAATGACGCCGACGGTCTGCAGTGAAAACGACGTGCAACTGCATCATCGGCCATCGACGTCTTCTTGGTTTTTGGCCCGTAACCAGCGGAGAGCAAATGTGCGTGATAACGTGTTAGAAGTAGAGAGCGAGACAAAAACGAGAGATGCAAATGATTGTATGTTGTATTCTAATGAACAGTATATATATATATATATATATATATATATATATATATATATATATATATATATATATATATATATATATATATATATATATATACAAGTGTGAAAGAGAAAGATGGGTGAAAAAACACTCTTTGAATTAATCTCTAATTGAACACTAAATAATAATTCTCAACAAATAAGTTCATAGGGACAAGTATACAAATACATGCAAATTTGTTTATGGATAGCATACGCTACATGGCTATTGCGTGATCCCTACAAATGAAGTGTTTTTTCAACCCGCTTTCTTTTATTTTTTAAAATACCCTCGGTTTTGGTGCGTCAATCCACGTCCTTTTTCCACTTTTCTCTTTTTTTCCTTTCTCTTTTTTTACTTTTTCCCGTCCACCTGGTTTTTGAGCGGACATTATTTTTTTGTTTTTTTTCATGATCTTTTTGTTGTTAGCCCGGCGATCTTTTTTTCACTTTTTTGTTTTTTTTCCTTTTTTGTTTTTTTTTGCCCGTCGTGTTAGTATTTTTTATGGTTTTTAGATTTGTTTCCAATATAAATATTAAAAATATAGAATAAAAGCAACAATCGTGGGTCTTTGAGCTCTCGACTCTTTCTAATAAATTAAAAACTTTTACCATCAAATTGTTCATGCAGATTTTTATGATTAATGAGCAAAGTGTTTCTTTTTGTCCTGTGTTTTACGTCCCAAACTTCCTTCACGTCCCACCCAATTCTGATGTACTCCGTACTAATATTAAATCACGTTGCCAAATCGATCTGGACCTTGTTTAGATTGTAAATTTTTACAATCTGGACACTGTAGCATGTTTTGTTTGTATTTGACAAACTTTGTCCGATCATGGACTAATTATGCTTAAAAGATTCGTCTTGTGATTTACAACCAAACTGTGTAATTAGTTACTTTTTTTTACCTACATTTAATGCTCCATGCATACGTCCAAAAATTAATATGACGGAGAGAGTGAAAAAACTTGGAACTTTGACGCCGTCTAAACAAGGCCCTGGACGTTTGCCCACCCTTGTTCTCTTGGTGCCGTCCTTTTCAATTCCTAGCGACGCATCTGAAGCATCGAGTGCGCTCATCAACTCCACCCATACCATCGTTCAATGCCGCCTCCCCACGTGGTCGACCAGTTTATTTATTTAGGGCCTATTTAGTTCCACCTAAAACCTAAAATTTTTTGTGCAATATCCATCACATCGAATCTGCGGCACATGCATGGAATACTAAATATAGACGAAAAAAAACTAATTACACAGTTGGGTGAGAAATCGCGAGACGAAACTTTCGAACATAATTAGTCCATAATTAGACACTAATTACAAAATACAAATGAAAGTGCTACAGTACCGAAAACCAAAAATTTTTACCAACTAAACAAGCCCTTATCTACTAGCTACTTTGTCAGCGCGAGGCTCGACCTTCGATGGCTTGGCCATGGTCAAGCCGCGCGACATGGTCATGGTCACCAAGGTCACACCCTAATTGAATAGCCATGCGTTCCACTCAACACTCCGGCACCACTTTGGACACTTTCATGACAATACAAGGTGTTGGCATAGAATAGGAACTATTAATAGTATTCGATTGTTCTTACATGTGCGTTTGGAGGAAATGGGAGAAGAACTAGGATAGGGGTTGGGCAAAGATTTGCTCATTTGCTTCAAACGTCACTGCCTGCCCTTGCGTCCTCCATATCCCATATTCTATATACGACCCAGATTCATGATTCACGCTCATATGAGTTAGGAACTCACATCTAGCAATCGTACGAAAATCGAATTTCAGGATGTATTGGATTTCGTGCAACGCATGAGCACGTTTCCTAGTTAAAAAGAAAAAAAGAGTAGAGGCTATTTGGATCGTGACTTTAACTTGTGACAACTAGTTATCTTTTGTTGTGCAAAACGTCATCTAGTTATGACCGGAGACAGGAGACAGTATAATAGTTCATGTAGAACTATCAATTTGTCTTTGTGGGCATCAGATTGAGCCTTGAGAGGTGACCTGACCAATCACAAGTGTAGACGAAGAGGGGAGCGATGGTCCATGCTCCGGTCGCTAGCCAGTAGCCACACCAGATCAAGGCAATGGTGACGGTGGCATGCATGTTTTTGTTGTGAACAAAAAGATAAGATCGCTGTCATAGGTCCATGCCTCCATTGGTTAACTAAAGTCAGTGCTCATCAGTCAAATCAAGTTAGTAGTAGTGATGCTAATCTTGGCAAGCGAAGAGGGTCCCACTCGCACTCGCCCCTGGGCCCTGGCGGCCTTCATCCTCGCTGGCTCTCCTCCATCCACGCCACGTCACCCACCTCACCTGCTCCTCCTATCTTCTTCTCCAGCGGCCACATGAAAAAAAAAACAATTCGCCGTCCACCAACCACACTCTAACCCGAAACGCGCCAGGGCCCACCTGTCACCCACAGCACGGCCCGCCTTCCTAATCTCGGGTCCGCGACGCGAGGCACCCAAAAGATCCACGAATTTTGCTATTAGCCCCCAAAAGGTCTCTTCGGCGGCGGCTGCGGCGGCGATGTCTCTCCCCGGCCCGGCGGACGGCGGCGGCGGCACCGGCGACGACTGGTTCCTCGACTGCGGCATCCTAGACGACCTCCCGGCCGCGGCCTTCCGTGGGACGCGTCCCCGTCTTCTTCCAACCCCAGGTCCGCCCACCCAGATTGACCAATCGATTCCTCCCTTCCCCACGCCCTTTCTAGTTCCAGAAGACGCGGATGCTTTGTTTAGCGTAGGATCCTGGCGATCGTTTCCGTGACCGCGGCGTTCCGTATCTCTGAGTATCGTGGAATCGTTGGGGTAGAGACGGGCGGGTGTGGGATTTGGGGGGCGGCTATCTGGATAGTAGATGCATGCGCTGGGAGGCATCTGATCCGGAGAGGTGGTTGCTCTGTACAGCAGATCTTCCAGTCTGTTGATCCGGAGAGGTGGCTGCTTTTTTATATAGGTTAAATTAGATTAGAGTTCCCAAAGGAAAAAATGGTTTCCTAAAAAACAAGGATGCTGAGTTTGCGCATTCCAAGATAACTTGTTTTGGTAGATTTGGTCTTATATTGCAGCGACTGTGTTTATGACAGTGGAATGGATGGATTATGTGTGATCATGACTAATGATTCGCCCAAACAATTGAGATGGTCTGCTCTAGATGCTGGCGACTTAATTGATGGGGGTTGTATTACAAGTCCTGATAAGTATGCGTGCGAGGCTGTGACTATGAGCAAGGGGATGTGCTGCTAGGTCATGGATGGGATCGTAAAACTGGACTGCAGAGCCAAAGATGTATGCGCTGATGCTGCTATGATATTAATTTAGGAGTAATTTGCAGTGATCCTGTTGTTTGACTTTGACCATTTTTTGCTTTACTGAATGCAGTCTACTCCATACGGGCAGAGTTCAATGCCTTACATGTAGCTAGTTCTCTGATTACTTTCGTCGATGAATGATTTTCAGTTATTTGGTTCAAATTAGGTACTAGCAAATAAGAAAAAGAAAGTTCATATACAGTTGGAACTGCTAATTGATTTTCCCCATATTTTACAGTGTGGAAGTCGGCAGCTATGTGAACACCAATGATGTCTTCAAGGAGCCCAATGATGTCTTCAAGGAGCCTGGCAGCAATAAACGGTGTGTCTGTTATTTCACTCTACGACTTAAAAAAAAGTATTTCATATTGTCTTGCTGTATGCAACCATCATTCTTACAATTGTAACTCTATTGCATCTTGCAGTTTAAGGTCAGGATCCAATGATGTGCCAACATCTAAAGCTTCTAGGGAAAAAATGAGGAGGAACAAGCTGAATGACAGGTAAATCATAGACATAATTTTGCTGACACTGCAGTATCAAAGATGGATTGCCAGGTCATTGACATACCTTTTCATTTCTTTCTTATGGTTTTCTAGGTTTCTTGAATTGGGGTCTACATTAGAACCTGGGAAGCCAGTAAAAGCTGACAAAGCTGCTATCCTAAGTGATGCTACTCGCATGGTTATTCAGCTTCGTTCAGAAGCACAGCAGCTGAAGGAAACTAATGGTAGTCTTGAAGAAAAGATTAAAGAACTAAAGGTTATTCAGCTGTTTATTTTGAACACTGTTAACCCACATATAATACATTGTCCTTTTATGGTGCGAGCAGCATGCCCGTGTTATTCAGGAATCCATAACATTACCCAGTAGCACTCTTATGTTCATCTACAATTATGAGATCTTTATCTAATGCTGGCAATGCTTTATGGTAGCTTATGGCCTGCACATGAATATACTGACTGCTCTTGCATAGCTCACGCAAGACATTTCTTATTAACAGCTAGTTTTACTGGTACAAACTTCCTTTTCTGAATGTGAACTGTCCACACACACAAAATCAGCCTCTGGCTGACAATATACTACATAACTTGTTACCTATATGTTGTTTCTATGCACCACAACAGAGCACAAATCATGTATTGATCATCTAAAGCGTTCTAGACCTGTTAATGGGGAGGGTATGAAATATCCATTCTACACCCTCCCCATAACTCCCCATCTCACTCATGAACATGTGCTTGCCTGCTTGGATTGTTGTTCACAAGTGCTGGAATATACGTATAGCTATCAGCCGGCTTATCTAGGGGCCTGTTCGCTTGGATTGTTGTTCACATGCGTTCGGGCCTGTTCGCTTGAACTTATCAGCCGGCTTATCAGCTAGAATCTACAGTATTTTTCTCTCACAATAAAACAGCTTCAGCCGGCTTATTAACCGGCTTTAATACCAGCCGAACAGGCCTTTGCGGGTAAGGCGACGAGGAACTCACCTCCACGCTACCGCAGCTGGACATTGCTGCACCTCCACGCCTGCCCCTCCACTGGGGCTGGCTGGGTTTCACCACTGCCACCAGTGCACAGGGTAGTGAGATATGGAAGAGGCACAAAGGAAAGCAATGGTACGCTGATACAGAGGGGGCTTGTGCTTCCTGTGATATAATTGAGAATCAACTACGAAGGAAGGGGGCAAGGGAAGGAGACGAGATTACAGGTAGAAGCGGGGAGACCCTTACCTTACCTTAATTCAACGGGTAGCAAGTTACTTACCCATACCTGACCCAAATCATGGGTGTGAATTTGGGGAACGGGTTATAGGGTATCCAATGACAGGTCAAAAGCCTTCATTTTTTTAATGATGGATACAATTAGCTATCAAGCTTTGGAAGCATTTTCAATTCTGTAATATTCACAGTCCACCATAACCCTTTATGCAGAGTCCGCGTTTGTTATTGATTTGATCAGACTGCTGATTATATCGTACTGTTCTGGCTGCTATGCCTCTAACTACTCTCAAGTACTCAGCTGTTGGAAAATTTTTTCTCGAGGGCACAAAGTTTACTCCTTTTCTGATATATTTATTTTTCTATGATCTCCAATATTTGTGAATCTATTGTTGTTTCTTTAATTCCAGGCCGAGAAGGATGAGCTTCGTGATGAGAAGCAGAAACTGAAATTAGAGAAGGAGAGTTTAGAGCACCAGATGAAGCTTATGACCTCAACACCAGCCTACATGCCTCATCCGACCCTGATACCGGCGCCTTTCCCTCAGGCGCCCTTAGCACCATTCCATGCCCAGGGGCAAGCTGCAGGGCAGAAGCTGATGATGCCCTTTGTCAGCTATCCGGGATACCCAATGTGGCAGTTCATGCCACCATCAGAAGTTGACACATCGAAGGACAGCGAAGCGTGCCCTCCTGTCGCATAATCGCTTCGATCGACTGTTCGTGCTTGCACCATGTGAATTAATCGCAACTGAAGCCCCCCCCTAGTCGTCGATCCATTGATTGGGTTGTTCTTATGTGGTAGTTCGTTGGTAACAGAGTATGGTGCTGATATCTGTGGCATCCTGCTATATATAGAGGCTACTGCTGCCCCTTCAATGGCTGTATAATTTTTTTGTGGAGAAAAGAATGTTCGTTCTTGGTCTCCATAGCAACAATGTCACATTATCTATATGTCATATATCTATTTTATATTTAACAGTGTCGTGACTTAACTCATGTTTGTGACACATACAAGCAAATTGTTTGGCATGAATATTAAGAACAGAGACAAAATTTTTGAACACAGAAGAGAGACATTATTATCAGTACTATGAGATGCTGCATGGTTGAATGAAATGAAACAGTGAGCTAGGCAATGGTGAGGCCAATCTGCAGCGACACAATGGCGACCAGTGATGCTTGTGCCCTCGCCATCAGCTTAATTCGACGCTGCTAGATGATCTTGAATGAATGGAAATGATTGGCCAGCTGATCCTATGTTGTCGAGAGTTGATATGATTTTTTTTGTTGAACAAAAACTAGACCCTAAAGTTGCATTCTTTCCCAGGCCGAGGAAGTATAATCTTTGCAAAACCAAATAAGGCCCCCTGGAGCGAACATACGGAAAGAGCCTACGTACCAGCTGGCATGGAACTGGGATGGGTCAGTGGAAAGTGACCTCCAGCTGTCGGTCTGTCGCTGCTTGCTCTCTCTCCCACCCTGTCTCCCGTCTCCCCTCAACACCTGCTACTTCGCCTCGTCTCGGGTCGGACGAACTCATGGCGCCCCAAAGCAGCTGCCGAGGCCGCGAGGACCAAACCCTAGCGTCCTCCGCTGCCGCTTCCCCTTCCCCTTCCCCTCGCCCCCCGGCGTTGGCACCTGCACCGGCGCTGGAGACGACGACGGTCGCCGACCTCACGGACCTCGTCCTGCATGCCATCCTCGTCCGCCTGCCCCCCGCCGACCTCCTCCGCGCGGCGCTCGCCTGCCACCGCTGGCGCCGCGCCGCCGTCCGCGCCCTCCCACGCGTGCCGCCCCTCCTCGGCTACTTCTTCCACCCCAAGGGCCCCGCCCAGCCGCCCCCGATGCCGACGTCGGACAAGACCCACCACCCCGCCGTCTTCGTCCCGCTCGACGCCGCCTCCCTGCGCATCTCCCTCGACCTCACCCCGGGCGCCGCCAGCAGCCTCTCCATCCAGGACGTCCACCTCGGCCTCGTCCTCCTCCTCCCTCACGCGCGCCCCAAGTCGCTGCTGCCCCGCATCCTCGCCGTCGACCCGGCGTCGAGCCGCTGCGTCCTGCTCCCGCCGCCGCCGCGCGACGCGCTGCCTGAGCCTGACCATGTCGTCGATCGCTGGCGCCGCGACAGGTGCGTCATCGGCGTTGCCGTCCTCGCGCGCGCGCACCCGAGCAGGCTCACCTTCGACGCCGTCTGCCTCACCGTCGACGGCGCCCGCCCGCGCGCCTGGGTCGCGTCCGTCCGCGACGGCACCTGCGCCAGCTGGCGCGCGTTGCCCAGGGCCGAGGGCGTCGTCGTCGACTTCGACCCGTGGTGGTTCGAGGCCCGCTGCGTGCACGCCGCTGGGAACATCTACTGGCACATCTGCAACTCCAGCCGCGTGCTCCAGCTGGATCCTCGCACGCTCGACTTCTCGTTCATGCCCGTGCCTGCCGCCCTGGGGGATGGCTTCAACAAGTACCGCGTCGGAGAGACGCCGGAGGACGGCCGTCTGTGCATGGCGTCGATCGTGGACGAAGAGCGTCTGCAGATCTGGGTGCGTGGAGGAGAGCCCTGGTGGAGCGACAGGGGGTGGTGGATGGAGAGGGAGATTTGCATGACCAAAGTGCTCGACACCGTGCCTGGGCTTCCCAAGGACAGGATGATGCGGATGCTTTGCACCTGGCTCAGCGACATGGACTACGCTCGCACCGGGAAGGTGTTCATCACTACATGGGGATATGGGCGCTACTCGTTCCATCTGGAGACCGGCAAGCTGGAGCGCTTGGTGATGAAAGATGGCAAGGAGCACGGAGTTCCTATCTATGCCTACACCTTGGCCTGGCCGCTTGAGTTCCTCGCTGCTCCAACAAACTGATCGACTTTCTGGTGATTTCCATCCCATAGCTTTTTGTTTACAACAAGTTTTGCTGCTTGATCAAATGCTCCATTAATTATTTTCCTTTATTTATGATTATCTGTATGCTCTGATGCATGCATATTTTGCCATATAGCATCCTGTAGAAGTAGAGGGAGCGTATCATTTCCTTTTTGGATTTGTCACTCACTCGAAAAATTTTAGAACATGGAAATTAGCACATAGTTGTATGTAGAAAGCTTGATGGTCATCAGTTTGGTGAATTGTGTTCCCTCCGGTAGCCGTAGGATGTGGTATATACTTATGTTTGGTACAGACTAATTTCTCAATAAGTTCTATAGACTTAGGTACCAAATTTGAAGTTTGTGTTGGACATCGCAGTATTATTCAACACTCCAGATTGACTTCCTTTTGAATTGTTGGTGATAATAATTGTTATTATGTGTGAATTTAAGGAGCTGCTTTGGTTATTTCATTTCTCAGTTGTCAACTTAACTTCACAAATTTTGAGTTTTGTGTACTTCAGGCTTTGTTGTAACTTACACTTGTGCAATTGAGCCTTTTACGGGTTATATATACCTTGTGTGTCTAGATACTAAACCTGAGTGTTAACACAAATGAATACTATAATTGAAACTTCACATTCTGTAGAACTCCACAACAAGAAGCATGGGGCCCCATCTATGCCAACTCCTTGTCCTCGATGCCTGTGTTCCTCGTTGATTTTTTTCTGAGACATTCCTTGGCTTCCATGTTCATGTCACTTGTTTATGCGAAGTTGCTTGATCAAATAGAGATCAATTTTTTATGTGTTTGTGTCCTGGGTGTGTAAGCTGGTTGCAGACTGCAGTGGAAGGCGCTAGCATATTCCCTTGTTTCTGATGGTTATGATCTACTGGCTACATAAATGTGATGACAGATCTTTGTATAGTAGGAGCCACTTATCGAAATTAGAATATGTCATCCAATGATCTAATGTATTTTCCAGGCACCTATTAGAAGGATACTTGATGATCCTACATTTGATGTGTTATGTACCTTGCAGTGGCTTTGGTAGGCTGTGTTATATTTTTTAACAAACAAAATGCTTTTAATGTATTTGTTTTGTGTTTAGGAACCTGTTTAACACTTTACCTTTACATAGCAGTTTTGTTCCTTAGTCACAAAAAAAAAGCAGTTTTGCTCCTTAGATTTGGGTTTTCCAAACAAAAAGAAGTTCTATGCTTACTACTAAATAATAGCCTTTAGGCTAGGTTTTGAATCTGCAGATCTGTTTGATTGTTGCTTGAATCCAAGGAGTTATTGTTTTTAGTTTGTTTGCTCTATTGCTTAAATAGTGGTTTTTAGTTTAAATCTACAACTGAGCCTCTTTGCTTATGCTAATTTAGTTAACCAAATTTCACAATATTTAATAAACACAAGCAACCAAACTTTATATTCTTTAGAATTGCTAGAATAGATAACTATCTTTAGATCTGATTCAGTCTTGCCAACCTTATATATTTGCTAGCATAGTTTCCATTCTCGTGTGATATGTATGCATTTCATGTGTCTGAAATCTGCCAGATAGTAGTACTTGTGTATTTTCAGGAGTTTTATAGTTTGAAATGGTACTTTTGTACCTTTTTATTACATATCAGAATTATGTGTTGATATGTTAGGCAAGCATTTAATAATTGCTGTCATTAATTATAATGAAGGATATATTGCTACCTTAGCGTTCGATAATAGTTATAGTTAGCCACAAATAATTGTGAATCCTTCCATTTTGTACCTTATTATGTTTTTGTTTACCTTCTTTTGGATATTCTTTCAGAAGGTTAGTTCAGCAATGCCCATTTTGTGCTGGAACTTAGAAACCGAAGGTCTTTACACAAAACTAGAGAATCTATGTACCAATTTGATGATTCTTAAACTATGACTGATTTCTCCTTCAATTTTAACAAGAGTTATGGTTCAATTCTCTTATCTTTGCAATTGATTAGGACAATGGTGCTGGGATTTGACTATTTTATCAATTTGGTTACTTAGATGGTTTTATTCTCTTATCTTTTCATGAATTTCTGCTGATGAAATGAGTTACTAGAAAAACCTCTAGGCCTATGAAAGTATTATACTGTGAACGCTGTTAGGCACTTCTGAACTTTAAACATCACATATACCTGGGATCCATTTTCTGGTTGCAAGCCAGTTTGGCTTATTTACCAATTATTACACTTGTTATTTTATCATCAAAATCCAATCTGTTTGATTCCTAGGCAGTTGGAATTGTGCTAACAATTATTTTTTCTTTATGATTCAGGTTGTTGACCAGTGAGAGAAGATAACAGTGACGCAAATCAGCTCACCTCTTTGGTTTCTGGGTTACTAGTGCCGTGCCTAAAGCTCTTTGTTCCGTATGAGTTAGTGCAGACAAAGCTGCTGCTGAACTTGTCTTTTTCACATTTTCGGACTAGATGGCATTCTGAAGACAGTAGTAGGGTGTGCCACGTTATGCTGGTTCCAGGCAAAACATATATGCTTGCTTGTCATGAGATATTTGTCCCATTAGACTAAGATGTATTGAAGACATTAGGGTGGAATGTCTCAGGTCGTGCAGTTTCAGCTGCTGAACTGTGGTTCTGTTCATCGCAAGTACCATCTATCATTTTCTACTCAGATAACCTTCCTCCTGTTTTGCGTATCATGTGAGTTCATCATGTTTACTTTTTTGTGAGCGAGTCCATCATTTCGACTTTTGTGGTGCCACTCTGATTCTTAACTTGCTCTCTTTATTTGAGCTGTGATTCATAACTGCATACACTTCCTAGATTGAACTGACATGAATATTTAGAACAGAGACATTATTCTTTCAACAGTACTATATGAGATGCTGCATGGTTGAATGAAATGAAACAGCTGTGAGCTTGAGCTAGGCAATGGTAAGGGTGAGGCCAAGCAGCAGCCACACAACGGTGACAAGTAGAGAGCCGAGACCGGCTGAAGAAGGCCCCGGCGCCGCGCCGACGGGGTGGTAAACACACATGTTGAAGCCCCTGTCGTTTGTGCACACGGGCGTGACACTGACCTCCAGCTTCATCCCGGCGTCGCAGTGCCCCGGCTTGCCGCAGATGAAGTAGCGCCTCCCGACGTAGTTGAGCTTGATGGCGTCGCTGCCGGTCTGGTGGGTGCCGCCCACGACGGGGCTCGCCGCCGAGCAGGAGCTGTAGCCGGCCTGGGTCACCTCCACGACGTCGTGCGCCGACGCGTCGTACTTGAACACGAGCTAGCTGGTCGCCCGGGTGGAAGTCGACGGTGGACGACCAGGCGGTGAGGTTGGTCCGCAGGTCCCACGAGCCACCCGGCTCGCCGACGGTGTAGTTGGCGCCGGACGCCGTTCCGAGCACGGTTGCCGCCGCCACAATGATCGCGACCATGGCGGCGACCAGTGATGCTTGTGCCCTAGCTTGCCATTAGCTTAATTCGACAGCTGCTTGTTGATCTTGATTCTTGAATGAATGGAAATGATTGGCTAGCTGAGTCTGGGTTTAGTTTGATGGTTGAGCAATTGTTGTGTGCAGTGCATGGAGGTATGCATATGGAGGTGAATATATAGGGTACGGATGAGCTAGCTGGTAGTGTGCAAGGATGACATGGTCCATTAGCTTTGCATGATTAAACATGTGCATAATGAATATTCCGGACACCCTGTTCACTTGATCGTATCAACCATGCTTATCAACCATGACATAGTATTTTTCTCTCACAACAAAACAGCATCAACCGGCTTATAAGCCACACAAACGATCGAGCGAACAGAAGACTTGGCCTCATGTAGCCACGTGATGAGAGGACCTGTGGAACTCACCTTTCAGCTACCATGTTTGACGTCGGCGGTCAGATATCGCGCGCACATGGATTCATACGTTCGCGAACATGTGCTCCTAGTGGCGATTAAGTGCTCCCACACACAAAATGCAACTTTACAAGTGTTTTTTTTCCTAAAAAAACAACCAAAATAAAAATATGGATGGACAGGTAATCTATTTTCATGCATACTTGAGCTTAACAACGTATGCAAAAAAAATATATGAAAAATAGAATCAACATGTGAATAGTAATAGGTTGTGAATACGAACTTATGTCATCCAACTTCTATTCATAGATTGGTTTTACATTTTTCTTTCTCCTTGCACCATTTTTTGTTTTAAGTTCAAACTTTGCATGAGCGCACGTATTAGTACAAACTCTATCCATCCATATTTTGGTTGCATTTTTTGTGCACATTATAAAGTGCAATCGTTGAAAGGATCATGATGCCGAATATAAGTGATCAACACCTCAAGCAAGTGGCTAGCTAGGACGGGATCATCCCAGGTGGCATTTTTTGTGCACATTATAAAGTGCAATCGTTGAAAGGATCATGATGCCGAATATTTTATATGACGCTTAGGTGGCGGTTGGTTGCGAGAACGGGATCATCCCAGGTGGGATATCCCACCTAGCCCCGTGTTTGGTTGAGAGGCGGCCAGGGGCGGAGTCATCCTCGGTTGGAATATTCGGCAAAGATCCGGGGCAACCCGTCCCGTGATTTCGACGGACAGGGGCGTCCCACCTGGGACGAGCTCTACACGCGACGCAGAGGAGAAAGGAGAGGAGAGAGGGTGGCCGGTGCGGTCTCCACCAGCGGCTCCAGCGATTTGCGCCCGGCCACGTCGCGCGGCGCCATACCCAGCCTTGTCGCATCGCCACGCCCGTCCCCGACGAGCTTTGCCTGCGGCCTTGCCGCGCACTGCCGTGCCCGGCCTTGGCGAGCTCCAGTGGAGGAGGCGCGGGAGGAGGAGGACTAGGGCGTGGGCCAGAGGAGACGCATTGTGGAGGGCGGCGGAGGCCTAGGGCGTGGGCTAGAGGAGACACATGGTGGAGGGTAGAGGAGGCGTGTGGAGGTCTCCGGTGGGCCCTGGCAACCAGCGTGGGGTCGTAGGTGGAGGGCGGAGGAGGCGCGGGGAGGTCGCCGGCAG